AATATGTTTAATATCACCCAGGCTCACATCATGGGGTTGTTATAATGGTAATTAATATAATGTATGTAATATGATTGGCACATGCAAAGCATTCAGTAAGTATGATCAGAGGCCATATGCTCCAGTATGTGGCCTAGATGTAGGGCAATCTTAGGACAAGCGCACCAAGATTCCTATGTATTGTCTAACATAGACAGACACCTGAAGCCTCTAAGTCCCATTCCGACCCACAGATATCGTGAGCTTTATCAAACCCAGTTACTCCAAATACCCTGCATATTCTCATGGATCAAGTGAGAACTCCAATTGGACCTAAGAACTGTCCCATTTATTCTTGTCCATTTTTTGATAATTGACCTACTGTGATGACTTATTGCAGGCCACACCCTCAAGATTGCCCCACTAGGAGCAGATGGTGTGGGGTGCAACATAACAGAGGAGAGTGAGCTCAGACCATCTGGGGGGGGGTGTGTGTTTCCCTTTTCCAAACAAGGCTTTGGAATCTCGTGCTTATAGCTTGGATCCAAAGTCATGATTCTCTCCAAACCAGAATTCTGGCTGACTTTCTGTTCACTGTTCACTGGGCTCCATGTTCTGGCACTCTCTGCTTACCTGCTTGTTCCCAATTCAAAAAGAAAGAGCTGTGAGAGTTATAAAGACACAGACTCCTCACTGATGTGACTTGCTCATTGATGTGTCTCTAGGACCCAGCACAGTCCTTGCAAAAAGTAACATGCAATCGATATTCATTGAATGAATGAATGATTCTCAGTCTGTAGTTAGGTCATGAAACCTTTTTTCCTCCTCTTCTTCAGAGCCCATTGTGACTTTGCCAGCCAAATGAACTCCAAGAGAGCTTACCATCTGTGCCCATTTTTTGACAAGTAACCAAACAACTCAGTTCAATTGAATCAACTTTTCATGGAGATCAACTACTGGCAAGAAGCACTCATAGTCTCAAGGAATGGTGAGAGACTTTCCTAGCCCGTGGCACCTCAATTTTACTTTTAAAACAACCTGGGCATGAAACTGAAATTTTTCCATGACTTTTTGAAAGTCTAAATACATGATTATAAATTACTTCCCTTTATCAACACACTCGGTTACCATAGGGGAAATCAATAACTTATAGACAATGGATAAACAGATGATTATTTCACAGGAATGGGGCAGGCATGGGAGGGGAATGAAGGATGGGGTGAAATGAGATCCAATCCCAGTCTGATGGATTTTTCAGTCTGTT